ATCATAGAAGATGGGGAAGCTTAAATGTGCATTCCGATTTCCGGTGTCCTATTCTACCACAAGAAAAACAGAGGCCTCTAATACCTTCATAAGCAACCTTTTGTCGAATCTTTCCCAATCTTACAGATTTGACCAAAGGCTTGTCTAAGTCTATGCGGACGCATATTCGGGCGTATTGGCCCCTGGTGTGATGAGCAGTGTGGGCATCCACTCTTAGGAGAGCTCCCACAGTGTTACCAATTTTGTGCAGAGAACAATGATCGTAGTATTCTGATGGTAATCCAGGGAGTTGCGCCCAAGCCACCGTGTGAGAGAATGTGGCGTCTTCGGGTCTAAAATTTGGTTCCCATGGTCTAATTGTGAGATAGTAAGCTCCCACAAACCATGGCCCACCATTGATGACTTTGTCAAGGTCTTCCTACACCTGAAACCGAACAAGAAAGAAGTCATGACCCAAATCAATACAATCCCACTTACCTGATGGTTTCCATTGAGCTTTAATACTAGCATATAGGAAATTATATCCCACTGTTTTGTCAAAGGTCTTGATGATCAGAGCTTTCTTCCATGGTTCTCGCATTCGGCGCTTATCTTCTCTAGAGAAAAGAACAATAGGAGCCGGGTCCTCTGGATCATCGTCAATATCGGAATCCTCCTCAAGATAGTCCGGCATAGCATCAAAGGAGAGATTTTCATCAACGATACCCTCTATGCCATTAAGTAGAAGCTTATCCTTATAGGATAAGTTCTGAGCATTGATATTGGTCATAACCTCCTCTGTAGCGGTAGATCCTGGAATCTCTTGTGAATTCTTGATCTTTTTAGTCGATCGAACAAGAAGGTCATTTTCCTGAACAGAAGGGAAAGTTAGGGAGAGAAAACCCGAAGACATTGCCATAAGTCTTAGTCTTTCTAGCTTTTAATGTTGCAAGTGCAGCTGCCCAGAGTTTATGAACACTTAAATGTAATTTCCCTTTTTTTTCTAACCTGTAAACATCAATGTTTGCAAGTATAAAATGCTCTCCATCTTAAATAACTCATTTAAATAGAGCACATCCCAATATGATAGTATTATAAATAACTGCTTTTAGCCTAGAAGACATTTTTCGTAAATAAAGTTTATTTAATTTCTTAGTTATCCATAAAATCTGTAATTTTATAAAAAAATTATTTAAATAATCACTAAATTAGAGGATTAAATATATGCCCGTTTCACTATTTACAAATTCGTCGTGTACTTGTTCCTAAAAACATCTAAACAGATCAAAATGATGGGCACATGATTGTTATCTTCATGTCGAAATTTTGACTTTAATAATTTTTGCTAAATGAATCTATGTTGCCATTTTGAGGAATGACGAAATAAGCATTAAGATTGAGCCCAAAAGGAACACAAAGCAAGGAGGGAAAATTCTCGAGGGCAATATGGACACTATCTAGTCAAAAGTGGTTGATAATTGTTTAATTGATTGATAATTGTTATTATTAATAATTGTTCTTTTTGTTGCAAAATAAGTGTCATTTTTTTAGTTTAAATTTATCTCTAATTACTTTTTAAAAATTTTTTAAGTTAGATAAATATTTATTTTATATTTAATCATGTTATTATCTATTTATTTTAATAATCACTTTATTATAATTTTTTTATTGTTAATTATTTTAAGAGTAATATAAGTAAACATATAAATTTTCTTTTAAAAAAAGAATCAAATTGTAACAAAGTGAGTAAAACATTTTTATTTGTTAAACTAGATAAAATTACTTATAGTTAACTTTAAATTATTATAAAACTGTGAAAATCATGATGTTTTAATATTAAAAATAAGTTTCAACCCCATTTTGGGCTATAAACTTTCATAGGAGCACCATTTTAGTTTCTAAACTTAAAATAATCCCTTTTTTTATTGCCAAAATTTAACTATTTTGCCTATTTTAGTCTAAACATTAAGTTATTTCACACATCGCACGTTAAGAAACAAAAGTTACGAAATTGTCCCTTTTTTTTTTTTACCTTATATAGATGCAGTGGAAAAATCTACGTGTAGAAATTGATGGCATTGATAAAATTTTAAAGGCTAAATTTAATTTTTTTATCTATTGACTATTATTCTATTATCATTTTAGTTTAAAAAGTTTAGTTTCTTTCAAATTTATCTATAAATTTTGAAAATCATTTCAAATTTATCTATCTGATAAACTTCCGTTAGTTTTCTAACAGAATCCCATTGCATGCTTATGTGGCACCAATCAGCACTTACGTGGCATATGTGATTTTGAAAAATTATACTTTAACCCCAAAACCTTTATAAAATTTTCAATTAAGTTTTATATTTAAACCACTCTACAATACAATTTAGTCAACTAAGTCCTTAAATGGACTAAATTATAATTAATCAAAGCTAATGATAAATAATTAAGATTGTTAACTTAATTTGTTAATCAATTGAGATTATAATATTATTTTTATCAAATTAAAATTTTAGAAAAAGTCTTTTACATGTAAAAATTTTTAAAATGTATTTTCTCTATCTTAAAATAATAAATATTTTTTAATTTATCTTTAAATTAAGGATTTAGAAACAAGTTGCATTATTACATATTTTATCCTTAAAAAAGAAATAAAAGTAAAGAACCTTTTTAAGAATAATGATAAATAAGACTAAAATTTAGCTTATACTAAATCATTGAAAATATTAAAAAATGAACTATATATTATTTAATGATTTGTTCTTTTTGTTTTTTTAGAATCTGTGATATTATGTACATTAATTAATTTAATGATATAACTTATACCACATCATTAATCTTAAATTTTCATCCTGTCTATCATTATTCTTTCATGATAGGAAAGATTATTAAAATTAAGATATAATCACAAAATTAAAGTAGAAAAAAAATATTTATCTCTTTTAAAATATAAAAAAGGCATTATTATTTTAAGATAAATTTTAAATAAAAAAATCTATTATTTTGAAATGTAGAGAGTACATTCTAACTTGG